ATGAGCTTTTGCAGCTCATACTGAAAGAAAATGAGATTCAGCCCTATAACAATCCAATATACTAATCAAAATGCTTAAAATGAATGCATATGATAAAAATATCATATTGTCTCAAATAAGCTATCCAGAACTGAGATCGAGATACCCTTAAGACAGACATCACTGCACCAAGCTAGGCTACACACACTGCTGGCTGATTTCTGGACTGGCATGTAATGAGTACTTAAAAATTGGTCTTGTCCATCAGAACCATTGGATAGGAACAATTTAAGGTTTTCCTCATGAACTTTTTTCTGAATTTCTCTTTCCAAACCATATGCCAGGGCTTCATCTATGTTGGTTCCTGATAAAACAGAATTTATCCTCTCCACAGCAGCAAAAGCCCCTCGAAGATCTCCAAATGTGTTAACCAAACCTTGAACCTGATCAGTGCTTTACATCAAACAGCAGGCATGGAAAGATAATAGCATTTTTACGTATAGAGAGTAGGACTTACAGCAAAGGTTAATGTGAATGTATATCCAATGAAAGAAGCCATAGTTCCAACAGAGAGCTGTCCCTGCATCAAGTATTCACGAATAAAAGTTTTCAGAAACAGAAAAGGGGGAATCAAACAAGTTAGGATGGAAAGAATGATGAGAACAAAGAATAAGAAAAGAGAGATTAACAGTGAAAAACAGGTTAAGCAAGCAAATTTCTTTTGTCAGAAAAAGGAGAAGATACTGGAGTAAGAAAATAGTTTTGGAAATGAAAAACACGTCGTTGGTATCAGAAAAAGGAACTTCCAAAAAGTGTTGAAGAGAAAAAATCACAATCAAGAGCTGCTTACAGCCTTCACTTTGCTTCCTCCAAGGCAATATAGGACCATCAAAGAAATATAAACAGCTCCTCTTGTCAAAGATTCATTAATAGATTTGAAAGTCCCAAGCTTTAAGCCACTACTTTGGTAAGCAAGAACCTGCCAATCTCTCTCAAGAAAATGTTAGAAGTGCACATAAAGATATTTCACATAGTGGTTATTTTATTACCAAGTTGCCGAAAAAGCAAAAGATCCAATATCTTCTCACCTGCGTACTAAACATTGACATTTGACGCATTTCACCGCTAAAGGATCTCACCTATGACAACAAATGTAACTAATTGAGCATAAATGCACATTAAATATTTTATCAGAACTCAACCTGAGAGTGATCCAGATTGACTGCAATTCAACTGCTTACAGTACGGATGGCAGAAAATGTTTCTGTTACACAATCAGAGATAGATCCTTGAGCCAATCCATGAGCTTTGAACACAGGAATGGTTGAACGCTTGTATGCGGCTAGGAAGAGTTGTAACAGTAAGCAGAAAAATACTCATGGATAAGAGAAAAAGAATGAAGTGATTTTCTTAAGAGAAATCATTTTCATGCCATTAATCATATCTACCGAGTCTTCTAGGAAGAAATAGTGCATGTGCAAGACAAAAGCATATGCGCTCGTTATAATACTATGCATGAAAAAATTTCATCATACATTGCCTATAGGAGCGAGATACACAGTCAAAAATTTCATTGTTAACCAGACAGTAGAAATATAAATTGAGAGAGATACATAAACAGCTTGCAAGATCCAATACATACTTAGAATGATAAAAAATTTCAAAAGCTTCAGACATGGAACAAGTTTAGTAAATAAACCAAAATTTGGAGAAGATATATTTACCAACTAAAACTGAGACAGTAAGCATCAGAAGACCCAGAATTGGAGCGAGTTGAGGGGCTAGTGCAAACAAAATGCATAGTGTGCCAATGACCTACAACAACAGACAATTGTTGAGATATAATTACCACATATAACACCCATTGTAACCGGCTGAATGATAAGTATATCTCCTTAAGATGATGAAGCACAGAGAAATTCTTCGCCATTAGCCTTAGTGTTATTACAACGATTTCTCAGGAAGCAACCTCATTTCACTCCATATGTAAGGAAAGTCACAAAATTTAACTATTGAAGAATGCAAGATAAGCTAAACTCATCAAATCTGATAGTTATTGGTTAACAAGACTCTTGAATGTAGGCAGCATAAAGCTCACTTTGGCACAGTATAGAGTGGCTTGCCTCAGAAAAGGCCCTGAATCCACGATCCCTGGAAACATTTTCACTCACAATGTCTTTGACAGAACCCAGATCAGATGTTAATAAACCAGTAAGCTCACCAACCTGTAATTGACAAAACAAAAAGTTAATCACATCCTAACTCTTAAAGTTACCGCCTATCTAACAAGGATGAGAAGTAGGCACTGGAAAAATATCAGCTCCTTAGTTCTATTTACCCGTATGTTCAATGCAAAACCCACCCTCAGGAAACAATATTACACCGGTACAACGTAAAGAGCTCTAAGATATTGTTAGTAATTTATATTTCACTAACCTTGTATCTGTCATAAAATTCCATCTGCATAAAGAAGCAGCAACAGCAATGAATAAAGAAAACAAATAAAACATTTTAAGTTTTTCATTAAAAGAAAGCAGTTAACTTTACCTTCTGGATCAACACCCTTCTAAAAATCAGAGCTCTTACTCTTGACATAACGCTCTCCCATATGATGTTCACGTTTACAACATATATAACAGTGAATACCGGCTCCAGTGAATACAAAAGCGCAACCCTACCAAGCAACCTCCAAAGAGGATCGAGTCTTGCCCCTATAAGCACCTCAAAGAATCTGCCTAAAACCGAAAAGAGAGGTGTCGTTAACAGTTACCATTTGATGAGTTTGGTCAGCAAGACAAGTGTCGTTATATACCAGAAAATATGGGCATAGAGAGAGTACAGGCGGTGCAACCGAACAGAGCTAAGACAGAGACGCCTAGCCTCATTTTGTGCTTAGCCAGAAGGTTCCACAAAAGCCCCCAACTTATCAAGCTCGCCAGCTGAGAATTCTGCCTCTGGGGCTTCGGCTCTTCGATACTTGGTTCATGCTCGCTCACGATCGAGTCCGAAGCAGGCCCGGCCACATAAGCACACGAAACTCTGTTCGATTTTATCCTAAGCGACGATTGTATTAGCAGTACACAACGAGATTGGTACAGGGAAGGAGAGAGGATCCGTTTGTGTCCTTGCTTGTTCAGCACGCGGAGATTACCAAGAGCAAACGGAGTGGGATTGAGTTGGAGAAGTTGAGGCAATGTTCCAGAGGCCATTGTGCAGGTGCGCAGAAATGAGTGATGTTGTTGGTTTCTAGAGGATAATGATAATTTTATTTTATTTAAATAGTCAAATACCGCATTTATTATTGTGTTCATTTTCCATCTTATCATGCAGTAGATATAACGTGTTCAAAAAACTTACAGCAAAAATAATTTTGTCCATTTTCACGTCATATGTGTCAAGCTACAAAAGGAAAAATCAGACCATCTGTTTCTCATCCGAAATCAGAGCAGCATATGAACGCACATTTTGTGTTTTCTCCAAGAGCTTCACACAAGGAATTCGCACAGAACCCCTGATTTTCCATCTCTATCCATGGAAACCCTTCTAAAGATGACATTCCCTCTTTTCTCCACCCACCAAAATCTTTTAACACGGAAACCCCTCAGAGCCATTAAAGTCTCGGTTAAATCGCCGCCGCCAGACTTCGATTTCAGGGCGGAGATATTGGCCGGTTCAAGAGCTACCATTGCCAAGACTCGTCCGCACTTGCTCGACTTGGCAGATAAAGGCACTTTGGTGTTGATCGAGAAGCGGCAATTTGGTCCGGTTCCTACCTGGAGGACCGATTTCGTCGAACCTGAGGCAATCTGGTTGGTGGGTACTACGCATATCACCCCGGAATCTGCTGACGACGTGGAGCGTGTTGTGCGGGCCGTAAAGCCAGATAATGTCGTAGTTGAGCTATGTAGAAGCAGGCAAGTTTGGTTTATTCTTTTTTTAGCTTTTAATGTACTGATTCAATTTCAATAATCTGTATTATTTTAACTTCAATTATTGCAGAGTTTATCATTTACAGAGCTGGGATTATGTACACTTGCACTGATGGAGATGTTGGCCAACAGGGGGGTTCTAGTATGTTCTCATTGAGCGGGCCAGGCTTCTTTGGTGCTGTTGGCCGTAGCTTAAACTTAGGCAAGCTCTATTTCTTCTCTATTTGGAAGTTTGTGAAACTCTTGAATTTACTCCCTCTTGTTTACATGACAGGGGGTCAAACTGCATTAGCTTTACGTCTGCTTTTGGCTCTTTTCTCATCAAAAATTTCCTCTGATATTAATCGGCCTTTTGGAGATGAGGTACTGTGACGAGAAACCAGAAATGTTTCAGTTAGTAAAATTTCCTCTTTAATGGAAAATGAAAGTGTTGAAATTGAATTAGTAAATAAAGGGTAACATCTGAGTAGATTAGGTACTCATGAAATGAGTAGGACTTGTGTAAAAAATTATTCTAGTTTCGGCTCATACAGAAACCTTCCTTCATAGTTTATTTACTCTGATACCATCAGCAAAGTTTCTTTCAATTGCAGTTCCGAGCTGCTCGAAAAGCATCTGAAGAAGTTGGTTCTCAACTGGTTTTGGGAGATCGCCCAATTGAAATAACGGTAAGCAAATTTGCTTATCCATATGTTTCATTTATAAGAGTTCTGTATGATTGCTGGCAATTGCCTATTGATTTTTGCAACTCTATATTAATCAACATACTATAATCCAATTCATTCTTGCAGCTTGAGAGGGCTTGGGATTCTCTGCAGTGGAAGGAGAAGCTAACTTTCTTGACCTCTATCATTCAGGGGATAACATCATCATCTGACATATCCTCAAACAATTTCAAGGCTTTTCTCTTACTGGCATCTGGGTTCTATTTTTGATATTTACTCAATTTGGGTGGAACATATTTACCACAATCCATTTTATTTCATTTTAGGATCAGAATACTGCTGATGATGGTGGCAGTGTCGAACTTTACGACCGCCTGAGTCTGTCATATCCATCACTCCTGCGGCCCCTTATCCACGAACGAGATACTGTGAGTAACCTCAAGTGCCCCAAATTTTGACAGTAAAAGAAAAAGGCTATTATGGAAAATCTAGGCTCCTTTAGCAGACAAAATATTTTAAAATTTTTATTTTCTACAATAACGTGTTTATACGTGTATTTATTTATTTATTAGAGTATGCAAGAATTGCAAACTTGCAGAATAACTAAAATATAAAGAAAAGAGTTTTCTAAAACACTCAAAGAAACATTTTAAAGTTTTCCACATTTGTCAACATTTTCACTATTATTTTCATCGTTGTTAACTAACTTTTATTGTTCTGTTAAGACTTCTATTTATTATTGCTGTCACTAATCTGCTGCTACCTAAGCAGCCTGAGCTCTTGTTCTCCTTTCCTTTGCTTTTTCATCCTGTATTTGCTGTTGATGTAGACGCTTCGGTTCGATCGTCTTTGTATTTCCTTTTGTGTTGTACAACCCTTTCTCTTAATATCAGCTTTGTTAATTCTTTTAAATGAAGGACTTGTATTGTTTTGTTGATGAAATATATATAACTATATAAACCACAAAACACTTTTATGTACTAAACAGAGTCATATTTTCATAAATCAGCACTATTTATTATTGAATTCCCTTAATACCCAAAAAATTATTATGTCCTCCTGGAGCACATTGGAATTATGTGGTTTGTTTATCTTTTTACTTCTAATAACCCATATCTGTTTCTTTTTTTCGGCAAAAAATTTTTACTATGCTAATCAAATGAACGAGCTGTTCTAAGTCAATTATTTATGATTGCTGATTATGACTTCCCATGATACCGGAGAAATTATTATCTATTCTTAGGGTACACTGCTCTAACATGGTTTGTCTATCTTCTACTATTATTAGGTCACATCAGATAATTCTCTGGACAAAAATTTGAACTATATATGGGTTGTTCTATAAGAATTGCTCCCAGAACACCTATTCATACCCATGTTAGCATGTTAGTAAAGGTTCTGTTGTTGCTGCATTTTCAGTACCTAGCATGGTCGCTGAAGCGAAGCAAAGCTGTGAATAACTCAAAGACAGTAGTGGGAGTGATTGGAAAGAGCCACATGAATGGTGTAATATACGCATTAGTGTCTGATCAGGGCAATCTGCGGTTTAGAGATATTGTGGGGAAGAGGGCATCTGATGACAGGTCTAGTGGTTGGCTTAGAAGTCTCTCAAAGAGCTTGGTTAGGGATACTTTTATTGGCATCTGCTTGTGGGTATTATATGAACAGTTAAAAGGTGTATTATAGGATCCAAAATTATTGATCTCAATTAATATGTGCACATGTATGTATGTTATTAAAAAGTCAATTGAGTAAATAATTTTGGGATATATTTTTCTATGTTTCTCTTTATGTATATACCTAAGTTAATCATGAATTCATTCTTTAATTTGATCTCTATTTAGTGGTGTTTGCCTCTTGTCTAAATTCAATTTCTTTTAAAGAGATTTGAAGATGAATTATTTGAGTTTAGAGAGAGATAATTTAAGTTTATTTCTCCAAAATGAAAAGTAAGAACTTAAATTATCTGTATGAGAAATTAAACACATTATTTGAACATTGTTAAAATTTATTCTAATTTATATAATCATTTGAAAACACATGAAAGTATATTTATTTTATTTACAATTAAAATAACATTACAAGTATAATTATTGTTAATAATTATAGGTTTTATCCTTAATAAGAAGTCTTCATAACATATTGGTTAAATAGAATTCATGATGAACTTCAGCATATTAGCATTTGGATTAAATTTTCCATATGAATGGCTCTTCCACAAAAGCATTTTAGATGAAAATAGACTTGAGATGAGGGGATCCACTTGTTCAATGTTGTTGGTGAGTCTCTCACTACCATATTAAATAAAGCTACAACTAGGATTAGTGAGGGAGTTCCGAGAGGACTACGGATGTCAATCTCCTCCAATTTGTTAATGATATTTTAATTTTAAAAAAGTTGTTTACATGACATATCACCAAGGCCAAACAATTTAGATCTCATTTTCCAGTCCAGACTAAACTATCCATTCCCCCATCTGTCTTTGGATGGATGTTTGATGTACTAGAAGTTTTACATAATGTTGTGTTTTTTTTGTTATGCATATTATTTTAATCATGGCTTATGGCCTGTTAAAAATTTATAGGAATTGGTGTTTGGTTGCAATCTTGGCTCTCATAATACCTTCAACTTTGGATCCCATGAGATATAATAGGAGCTCTCTATAGTTCTTAACATGTCCAGACTAAACTATTCATTCCCCTATGTGTCTTTGGATGGATATTTGATGTGCTAGAAGTTTTATACAATATTGTTGGGTAATGTTGGATTCTATAGAATTCCTTCTTATAATATGTATATCTGCTATTTAGTCAATAATTACTTTTAATTCAACAACCAAATTTTTTATTTTTTTAAACGTTCTTCTACTCTTGCCTCTTATAGTAGTTATCATATTATTTATTGCTCGCTTGTGCTTTTGACGTTTGTGTTCAATCTCACATCTTGCCTTTAACCTTGACTTAATCACTTAAATATCTCAATTTTTTATCATCTCACCAAATAATAATGCCAGAACTTTTCCCATCCAACAGCAACCATCTCAATTTCTTCATCATTGTTTCACTTGCTATATGGTATGTTGTATGAAGTACTCAAAGTTATTGTCCAAAAAGTTGATGGAGCTCATGACATGTTATCTATTGACTCCAAGATCCTAAAATAAAGAATTGCAAGGATGTTGATGGATGTTAATGGGATCTTGTTCAAGTTTTAAACATGGTTGCATGGCAAAATAGACAAAGATTTTTCACAATTGAAGCCATAAGTGAGATGATAATTTGAAGAAAAGAGAGCTTGACATGAAGGTGAAAAAGAGTTTCACATTATGATTGAGAATAATTTTTGATTTTATTATAAAGAGTTTTGACAACTTTATGATGTACATAATGAATATTTGTTAGATTTAATCCAATTTAATTTTAAAACAATGCACTTCTTTATGATAATGAATTTTATAAAATAATTGTTACTCTTATGAGTGGATTTATTTTTTTACAAGTTTTATACTAAATTAATTAAATGTTATAAAAAAATTCAAAGAAAAAAATTAAGATTTGTATGAAAAATTCTAAATTTTATAGAAATAATGCAATCCAATTGCCAAAACGAAGTTTTTACGGAAAATGTATTAATAAGAGAAGAAAAGAAAACATATACGAAAATGGGAGATTATAAGAAAATAAATATATAAATAAATAAATAAATTTAGGAGATTATGCATATAAAAACAAAAATATAACATTAACAAAATCAAAGAAAAAAAAGAAAGATAATACAAAATTGAACAGACAAACAAAAATTTATAGTATGAACTTTGCACAAAATACTGTCAAAATCTCATAAATTATAGTTGTTGAATCAATCATCGAATTATGAATCAAACATTTAATTTGTTTTAATTGATACTCATGAATATAGTGGAATAATAAAATTTGGTTCATTAATACTTGTCATTTACTTAGATTTTGTTTTAAGTAGATATTCATGAACTGAATTTTTTATTATTGAAAATCAAATCTAATCGTAAGTGCTTAAAGTTTGTTTATATCTTCTGTATAATTTAATGATTAAGCACGTTTCTTCTTTAAATACCTCAATTTCACATTTTTGAACATTAGCTTCTTAATTTCATACCACATTAAGTGATTAATGAAACTTGTTTTTTTTTTTTTACTTCCTTTTTTCCCTCAAAGAGTGAAGATGCTTCTTTTTTCTATAAATAAAATTTTAAAAATAAAAAGGCCATATAATTTCATGCATATGGTAACTTATTTTAATTTTTGTTCTGGTCTACTAATGATTAAATTTGTTGGTTAACACTATGGTTAGAACTTTAAGATACAAAAAAATAATATAGTTATCTCTAATATTAATTAAAGTATCAAAAACATCAAGATAAGTTTTTAATTATCTAAAAACATAAAGATAAGTAAAACATATTTGGAATTTAATTATCTACATAACATAAAGATAAGTTTTTAATTATCGAACTTAATTATCTAAAAACATCAAGATAAGTTAAAAAATAGAATAGTACTTTTCAAATATTAATTAAAATAACAAAAAATAGAGTTGAATAACATAAGTATATAATCAATCATTATTTATATTTATATCCAACACTACACTCCATATATTAGTTACTTAAATTTTAAAAATAATTACCAATAATACTTGCACCCGCAATAAATTTAATAACTTTTTATCAGTAGTGACAAAAGCTCACTCCATCATCTCCGGTGGCGATATTCGGATCTTCCACAAATAGAAAGAAGTTTTTAAAAAATATTTTTTAATACAGGGGATCAGTTTATATTACATTAAAAATAATACTTTAAAGAAATCAATACATTATTTTTTCTTTTTTTTTTCGACGTCGTTGTCTCAAATATATTAATATACAGAACACTCGTATTCCATTTTAAATCAATTACACACCTACAATAAAGTATTACAACTAATTACTCAATTTTTATAGAAACTCACAACCACGAACACATCAATGTAGTAACTTACGAATTACATAAACCCGTATTTTTATATATGGTTTACACCCCTACCAACCACATAACTATCATGTCCTGCTAGTAGTAAACCCTGCTCCATCTCCTCTATATGCTAGGTTCGGAAACCTGCAACTCCACCCAGTCTCCAGTCCTACTTCATCTGCAAGTAATAGAGAATGAATATATCTAAGTCAGTATAATGAATTTAAATTTCAAATATAGTATGGAAACCCAATCACAAACTTATTCTCCTATATTTCCTTTCCCGTTACCTTGGTCATGCTTCCTTTCTACCCCCGACCCCAATACTACTCATCTACATGTATTGTACTACCACGTCTAGGTGTGGTCACCCCCTGATACCCTCCCCTCGGCCCTGCCCTAACCACTCACCCACATTGTAACCCCTATCCGTCACTTGTATCGGCGACCACTCTTTACTTTTCCATCGTTCTACCCCTAACTAGCCACCCACACACACAACATTATTGTTTTCTTTCGTCATTACCACTATCGGCGTCTCTCCCCCCCCCCCCCCTCCACCCCCCACCCTAACCAACGCTATTGTCACTACACCCCGTCCATAATCCATATGCCCCATATACACGCATACTTAACCCACACGCCTATCATTCCAACTTCAGTTATTACCAAACAATCAACCTTACCATGCAGTTCTCCAATCTATAAGCATGTTTAGATAATAAATTCCAATATACACCCACACACCTACACAAACACACATACACACCAAATGCACCTACATAAACACATATCCAAACCAAATACTCACACACGCAACCCCTACATGCACATGCTAACTGCCCCCTAACTTTTATCCCAATCCCCTTTTTCCTTCCACTCACCTCATTCTGCATTTCTCTATCATCGTCACTCCTTCCAACCATTCCACTCTCTGTCCCTCTCGGCTCTTCTCATTATGTCCCACGGCTCCCCTTCCACTCACTCACTCTGCATTTCACTTATC